TCACTTGTTTGACCCTGTTAATGTCGTCTTTGCTGCAGCAGTAACAGGGCTGGTCAAGTCCAGACACGTTTAGAGGGAAAGGNAATTTTTAGGTGAAGGCGTTTTTTTTTATGAATAGTAGGTCCGCATATTTTTTTCGAAAATCAAACTTCCTTTAATTTTATTGAAGCTGAGTTAAGCTTGGGTAAATGGTGGCAGACTATTGTTCCCAAAACGTCTAGGCTCTCTTGGGTGCCATTGACATAGCAAGAGAGTAGCTTCGAGGCTTAGAAGGCGTCAACGCCAATTTCTAGGGCTTGTACGCCATCGAAGTTCTTCTCTTCGCATTGATAGTTGTAAGAGGAGTGACGTCAAGGAAGCACGGTGGTTAGGGAAGAAGCTCTCTTTGGAACTCATAGTTCCCTAATAGTCCATCTTGGCACATCAAATTCAGCCCTTTTCTCGACATAGTCCGTACGGTCCCATCTTCTCACTCCTTGGACTTTTTCTCAGTGGAGTGCTGAGTTCCTGTGAACTCACTCATGCTGTGAGGCATCTTTTTTCGTAGCTAATACGAAGGCTTTTCGTTGGCTTTCTAAGGCTAACCCTATCGCAGTACTATTAAGTCAGTCTAAGAACTTAAATATATCCTAGCGGATTGGAATTTAACTAAGAGCAGAACTTGCCACAGAAATGACGATGGAGTGGAGCCATTTTTGTGACATACCCCTCCCAGCAGGTATTTCTTTACATCAACCACATTTTGGGAGAATCGCTAACCATCGGATTAAGCCGACCTTGAAGTTCAGGGCTGAGAGGGGCATAGCAGCAAATTTCGTGGTTTCGTTGGAATTTCACAGTTGAATCCTACAGTTTCAGAAGGAGGCTATGTGATAGTGCCTGTACCAGCTTCAACTTCAAAGCTCTTCAAGACGTGAGGAAATGAAAAACAAGATCTTGCAGAAATAGCTGGAAGGGGATGCCCGTACTGGTCAACATGATCATTTTAGTTCTGGTTCCAGGAGCCCTATGATTGAAGGGCTACACAGTATGGAAAACTCCAGTATTGGAATACCCTTTGAAGACAGTGGGCATGGCTGTCTGATGTGGGTGAAGTGGAAGTGGGCTGGTCGTTAGTCCATCAGTATGGAAAAAAGGCAAGAAATCTGGGCAGAACTCCGCGAATGAAGCCCCTCAGTTGATTCAAAGAGATGTACGAGAAGACCGAAAAGAACTGGATGTTCCAACAAGTTTTTACTTGTCGATATCACATCGCAACCAGTAATATCACTTGTTTGACCCTGTTAATGTCGTCTTTGCTGCAGGGCTGGTCAAGTCCAGACACGTTTAGAGGGAAAGGCGGAACCCACATTAGGAGGTGAGCACCTCATCAACCTCGTCCACCTCTGTCTACCGCCACGCCCCTTCTCGAGCACTTTTTGCTGTGACGGCGACATATGTGTTCCACCTTACCAATGTCTAGCTTTCTGCCTGAACTTCTAGCTAATTCACTCGACTAGTTGGGACTTCGAGTTTTCTTGTTCTTGATGGTCTACCCCACTTGTACCAATCAAACTAATGGGTCTGCTAGTGTTACAAAGCTACGTTACTTTAGATAGAGAAGTAAGGTCGTCTAGCATTTCCTGATCAGCGTTCTGTTTAAAAGGAAAGGTGGAACCCACAATAAAATCGCCTCAAAACTAACCATGTGTATGTCGTTGGCATTTCCACGAATTAGGCGTAGTCCATGTCAAGTAGATGCGATTGCACGGATTCGCCACTACAGTAGTGATCAATCCCGTAATTGGCGGAAACTTCGAATAATTACAACTGCTTTTTCACCTTATGTCTTACTTGCTTATTATTTAGTTGTTTTACGAGGTTATGTAGTAAATCATAATAAAATGGCCTGTATCGTATTTTTTTCACGGCTGGTGTTTCAATTCCTGTTCGTTTCTGTCGTTATTCGACATGGTTTCAATTTTCTTTATTACCTTACCCACCAGCTTTCACAGGAGCGTCAAACCTATGGGCGCTAATGATGACGACGCCAAGGAGAATCTTCTGCCCATCTCTATATCGAGTGAAAGCCTTTCAAAAGGTGAGTTTTCAAGGGTTACCAGGCAAAGGCTCTAATTCTATTATGGTTATAAGGGCGACAAAAGATGCTATAGCTAGTTTGTGAGTCAAGGTTTTTTATTTCCTGGAGCATATTGGCTTGAAGTTTCCTGAACGATAGGTTTTATTTTTGAGAAACTGCCTTGTAGTATTTTGAGCTGTTATGGGGCTTTGCTTGACGCCCATTACATTACTATTTTCTGTCCGATGAGAATCTTCTGTCACGCGTGAATTCGCCCCCAATTTCTTTACCTAGCCCAGGAATTTTAGGAAGATTGTGGTTGATGTGAACGTCTAAAACGTTTAACTCGACGTTGGTGACCCGAATCGACCCGAATTGTTGGTGACCAGTTGTAGATTAAAACTTCGAGGAAATCAGGAGAGGTTCAATGCTTTTAAGAGTTAGGGGTGAAGTGCAGTTGAGTCTGGTTCCCTGTATGGCCCAGTTCAATCAGTCTCCCATTGGAGAATGGTGCACTCTTTTCATGTTCTTTTGGCGGTACTGTGAACCCATAAAAAATCATACTGTAATGTGAATATATTCTCTAGTACGCAGAATGTTTGAACGATTCGGAAAGATGAGGTCAAGCTTGATCAGCTCTATTATATAAACAAGATTGAAAACAATTTCGAGAATTTTCGTTCAGAGGGAAGCGATCGTCGGGATTTCCTCTTCAAAGCCTATGTTATCATTACAATGACATGGTTGTGGACTGGTTACACTCTTACTGTCCGGTATACTAGAACGGCTGTGCCAAAAGATGAGGTGACTTCTTTGAATCTCACTTATTAAAATTTTCTCTCAGTGAGGATCTCTTTAACTTTTTGATGATTTCTTTTTCGCTTTTTTCCGTTGGCCGCGTTTACTCATGAGTACCTTCCAAACCAGAAATAAGAATTCAATCTGCACCGAAATCGGATGGAATACTCTCAGGGAAACCGCGTTTTGACTGTGGATAATCCTTAACCTTTATCCCGTTTATAGACGTAGCCGCCCGTAAGGAGACGTTTTCTTGCAAATCATTAAAAGATGCTTAAGACGTTTATGCGTATCACTAGTTACCATTTTCAAGGGTCTTCTATTTACTTGCAATTCATTTGACCAGCGACCATACTTACCTTTGATTTGCTTACAGTTGTATGCTGCCAGTACTGTGGTACTCATGTCGGAAATTGTGAAAGGTATAATATCGCTACTGATGTTGTATAAGGAGAGTCATTATAAATACCACGATTTTGCACAGGTAATGAACTCATAATTCTTCTTTTTTTTGCAATATTATCTTAAACCCTCTCAGTTCACCAAAATAATAGAAGTCTATTTTCGGAAAGTATTTTTTCTAGACCTTTTAATCGGAAGGAGCAGAAACTTATGAAGCGCTCTTTTTGAAAGTGTGTCGCGAATGGTATACCGAGATTTTGCTTGCCAAGTTGCTGTCTCTACTCATTTTGGCACCGCTTCCAAAGTAGGGTTTACCGTCGGGAAAACTACAACCTCTACAGCTTCGTGCAAGGTTAAAAAGAAGCTGATTCGCTGCCGATGCAATCGGCCCATTTAATCATCCGCCAGGTACGAAGTAGGCCGAGTTAAGGGAGTACATGGTATGGATGTCCCATTAGGGGTAGGGGAGCAATCCCAACAGTCAGTTTCTCCAGTTTTCATTCAAATAAACTAGGAATGTTCTTCTTAAACTGAAAACAATTCCCTTCTCACTTATGTTGGTTTATGTGTTATTAGTTGTCGGCTTTGGTTTTGGTTTGCTCCATAGGAGGTGCTGTATTTTCTATCGTTTTTTTTTTCATTGTCTGAGTTGTTCCTTCAGTGTATTCAAAAGTACTACTTGGGCGCACCCCGAGAGCTGTTCAAAATGAGCGTACCATCAGTCGCGTATGCTTTTCAAAATAATCTCGACTTCATTGCCCTTTCCCATCTTGATGCTGGGTTGTATCAGGTATGAGTTTTTCTTTCTGAGGTTCTACCCAACATTTCTCTCATGATATCTTATTGAGGTCACCACACAGCTGAAGGTTTTCACTACTGCCATTTTTATGATGCTGTTTCTTGGAAGAAGGTTTTCCCGAACGAGATGGGCCGCTATTCTGCTTCTTTTCTTCGGCGTAGCCGCCGTTCAGGTGATTATTACTTCGATTAGAAGCATTTTCATAGTGGTCTGCTTATTCCTCACATCTCTCAACCAATTTCTTTTCCAGCTCAACAATGCTCAGGACACTAATCAGGAGAAAAAAGGAAATTATTTCATAGGAATTTCAGCGGTTCTGGCTACGTGCGTCACAGCTGGGTTTGCCGGTTAGTCATATTCCAGAAACAAATTTTGTATTCATTTTCGTTTAATTAGCATTGGCTGTTTCGAATATACACTTTAAATTAAATCGAAAATGTGAACTTTACATTCTGAACGATTCGGTTG